TTGGTCCTCTTCAACAGTGTCTCAAGTATAACCTTGTATAGGCACCACATTCCTTTTGTCTCTTGGCAAGAGACTGAGAAAAGGGCATGTTGGCATATATTTAGCAAAGGAGAACGTATCTTCAGTGTTTGTTCAGTGGAGGCAGTGAATTGTGAGCTATTTTAAATTTGAAGGCTTTTCTTGCGAACATATGAATTATGCCCACCAAAAAGTTATGTTTTGCTCTTTGTGTGTTTACTCCATAAAAATTAAGTGGGCCTATAACAAGCAAATATTGCTGTATGTTTTTCCTAGGTAAAACTGTATTGCAATTGATGACTTAATTTTCAAAAATCAGTTTCTTCCATTGAGAATTCTGTCATCTTAAAACTTATTTTAAATTTGTTTTCCTTGCTTGCTTTAGTGTTTACCTGATTTTACTCTTTATGTACTGTAAAGGGACTTCATGTGCAAGTTTTTTTTTTTCACATAAATCCAATAAAATAGGAAACTGCTTATTAAAAAATATGGAGTTAAGGGCCGAGCCCGTGGCACACTCGGGAGAGTGCGGCGCTGGGAGCGCAGTGGCGCTCCCGTCGTGGGTTTGGATCCTATATAGGGATGGCCGGTGCCATGCGCTCACTGGCTGAGCGCAGTGCGGCCGGTCACAAAAAGGACCAAAAAAAAAAGGACGTAAAATGCTTTTTTATTGTTTTGATGATAATTACAAAGTATATAGTCAATGCACATTCCTACAGTCTTGTAATTCAGTGGTTCTTCATGCCCAGAGGTTTCTTAAACCCAGTTTATACTCATTGACACCGTCCACCCTTAACCACTAATATCCCCCCTCCTATCTAATCCCTAAGTTAAGGGAAACAGTCATTTACCTATAGGAATATACTAGGCATTTATAACAAAATTCTTTTTCCCATAAAAACTATATATAAAGAAAACAGATAGCAGTGGCATTGTTTTAAACTTGTAAATGACCTCATGCATATATTCTTAGTTTAGCTTCCTTATTTTTTTTTATATGTCCAACCAGAAATGACATCAACCCATGTTGTACATACAGAGTACGTTGCCTTTTCAGTCTGAATTTAATGGGCTTTCATGCTGTTTAGATACTTTGGGATTTAAAAAATCCATTCATCTGGCCACATGCTGTGCAAAGTAAGGAGCTGGGCCCCACAGAGCCTGAGAGGAATTGGGCATGGTGTCACCACAAGAAGTTCAAAGAAGGGAGAAGATGAGCACCTCCTCCATTGTCTACAGTACTTAAGGGTTCATGGAATTAACACTTGTATATAAAAGAACTGCATCTAAGTGCCATAACATAAAGTGTAAGAAAGTGCTGCTGGAGTTCACAAGAGAAAAATGGCACTTCCAGCTGAGAATCAGGAGGAATGGTCCTTTGAGGATTTCAGGAGATGGACAGAATGACGGCAAAGACGTTAGAACTGGCTTTCCAGTCAGAGGCAGGCACGAAGAGAGGAAAAGTCAAGATCACAGCAAAGCGAGAGATTTGGCTACATAACTAGGGAGACAGGGTAGAAAGTTAGCCCTAAGTGTCAGGCTAAAGAGTTATAATTTATGCCAGAGACAGTGGAGAGTCAGTGGAAGTTTTTGAGTGGTGTGTTGAAACATCTGAGAAAGGTTAACCTAGCATGACCTGTGCAATGGAGGTAGGCTGGCGACAAAGGCTATGGTGAGAAGGCAGAGGCGGGACCAGGGTAAAGAGTCAGCTGATGAGGCAGCCACCTGCACAAAAGTCAAAGGAGACAGGAGAATTAAAAATGATGCCGAGTTTCAAGGATGGCGATACCACTCACAGAAGAGAGGACGATGGAGATTTTAAAGAGTATGAAGTACCAGTAAAGCAAATGGAAGTGTGTCACTTGTCATTAAGAGAGTGCTGATATCTCTTCTCCTGCATTCACATTCTTAAAATACTGATAAAGTTTAAAAACAAACAAAAATTACTAGTGCTATTGTAATGTTTGGATTTTGAAGCACTATTTCTTAGGAGCTCAGAAATGGAGCTAGAGAATAGAGCTCCTTGCACTACGCAGATGTTGTACCAAGAACATATATTTTCACAGTTAGCTTTCCTTGTTCTCTAAGATGATTTCACCATTGTAAGGTAAGCAGTGGAGTGATCTCTGATTTTTGACATGAGAAAATAAAGGAAGGGATCTAGGCAACTATTCAGGCTGCCCAGGCACAAAGCTATGAGATAGATTAAGTATAAGCCATCAGTGTTGTTGTAGTAGTAGTCAGCATGGTGAACAATAAGTATAATATTGCTTGGAGCAAAGCAAATGGTAAAAATCACAAGGATGAGGAGACTTGCCTTCACATACCACAGCCATCTATGATCGTATGCATTAAGTGTCCGGATGATGGCTGTGTAGCAGTAGATGATGACCACAAATGGGATTAAGAATCCAAAGAGTGCCAAGGAGATGAAGTAGTAGAGTTGGAAGGGAGCTGAGGACTCGCATGTGTTGTGGACATCATGGCAGGTGGTGATATTCGGCTGGACAAGATAATACTCCTGCTTCAGGATGGAAAATGGCAGCATGTATAAGAAAACCATTGCCCACACCAATCCACATGTTAGCAAGGCATAGGTGCGCTTGGGTAGCCCCCGGTAAGTGAAAGGGTGGACGATGGCCAGGTAGCGGCTGATGCTGATGCAGGCAAGGAGCAGAATGGAGCAGTATATGTTGCCATAGAAGATGACCGTGGTGGCCCGGCACATGACTTCTCCAAATATCCAGTTGTTCCCATTGAGATGGTAAGCTATCTTAAAAGGCAGTGTGACACAAAAAAGAAAATCCGCAATGGCCAGGTTGGTGTAGAAGACAGTCATGCAGATGGATCTGGTCCTGAAGAAGAGCAGCCACAGGGTCATGGTGTTGGCTGGCACCCCAACTACAAACACCAGGATGTAGATTGCGGGTACCAGTTTGGTACTTAAGGAGCTGCTTAAGTACCCCATGGTAACATTATTCACGTGGAGATTTGAAACACTTTCTTGAGGGCACTTAACTTTTGTAGTTGTGGCTCCTGTCCAGCCTTCTATGGAAGAAAGAGGGAACTCTTCAAAAGAATTTGGAGGAGCTCCATGATAGGTCTTTATGGGAAAGGTTGGCTTTGCCAAGTTGTCTGCATCATTCTCCATGCCTGTATTTGGAAGGAAGTATTAGCATATGATTTTTGCCAAGTCATATCTGTGGTTTGGGAGAAAATAAAATGAAGTGTCTTATGCTACATA